ATGTTAAAGCTAGACAATTCAGACTAGAAATAAGAGAAATGATAAAAACTGAGGGTAAATTAATCATTGGAACAACTTAACAAGGGTTGTGGTGAATTCTCCATCAGTAAAAAATTTAAAATCCAGATTAGATGTTTTGCAAAAAGATATACTGTAATTCAGGTCAAGTAGGCTACGTCTACGCAATGGAACTATTCCGAATCTTAAGAGCAAGCGTGTTATATTGAAATATAATGGTTTCGCTGTTTCAACGTCCCTGTAAACCTCATTGCACGAGGGATAAGGGATGTTTCAAAATAGTGCCTTATTTCAAAATTTGGCGCTGTGTAGACAGTGCCACATTTCAAAATAAGCTATTTTGAAATAACATCAAATTAAGCTACACGATCTGCGTAGTGCAAATTGCATAGCTTATTTCGAGGTAAGGGTGCTGTTTAGATGTACCCTATTGAACTTGAAGGAGGAATTAATACAGGGAACAAAATGATTGGGCAACAAAATGGCAAATGAAATTTAATGTGGATAAGTGTAAAGTAATGCACATTGGGAAAAATAACCCCAACTATATGTACAGTATGATGGGGGCTAATTTGGCTACGACAAATCAGGAAAGAGATCTTGGAGTTATCATGGACAGTTCTCTGAAAACTTCCACACAGTGTGCAGCGGCGGTCAAAAAGGCAAATAGGATGCTAGGAATTATTAAGAAAGGGATAGAAAATAAGACACAGAATTTCTTACTACCCTTGTATAAAACTATAGTATGCCCACATCTTGAATACTGTGTACAGACGTGGTCTCCTCACTTCAAAAAAGATATTTTGGCCTTGGAAAGGGTTCAGAAAAGGGCAACTAAAATTATTAGGGGTTTGGAACGGGTCCCATATGAGGAGAGGTTAAAGCGACTGGAACTTTTCAGTTTAGAAAAGAGGAGACTGAGGGGGGATACGATAGAGGTATATAAAATCATGAGTGGTGTGGAGAGGGCCGATAAAGAAAAGTTAATTATTAGTTCCCTAAATAGAAGAACTAGAAGACACCAAATAAAATTAATGGGTAGCAGGTTTAAAACTAATAAAAGAAAGTTCTTCTTCATACAGCGTATAGTCAACCTGTGGAACTCCTTGCCAGAGGAGGCTGTGAAGGCTAGGACTATAACAGAGTTTAAAGAGAAGCTAGATAATTTCCTGGAGGTTAGGTCCATAAAAGGCTATTAGCCAGGGGATAAAATGGTGTCCTTGGCCTCTGTTTGTCAGAGGCTGAAGAGGGATGGCAGGAGACAAATTGCTTGTTCATTGTCTTCGGCCCACCCTCTCTGGGGCACCTGGTGCTGGCCACTGTCGGCAGAGAGGATACTGGGCTAGATGGACCTTTGGTCTGACCCAGTACAGTCGTTCTTATGTTCTTATGAAGTTCTATGGTCTTTTTATGCAGGTGGTCACAATGGTTCCATCTGGTCTTAAAATCTATGAATCTATCTTATCATTTATAACAATCCAGTTGCACTGATATGTTTTATGATTAGTGCAGTTCTGAAATTAGGCTATTGTTGATTTCCTCTAGGAGAGTTTGATTTGTAGATAGCTCTGAATAAATTACTGTTTAACCTTTACAGCACAGCAGACCATGTCAGCAGGACAGAGCCTTACTAGAGAATGGCTATAAATAAGATTTATAAATAGGATTCAGTGGGTGTTGGTACCCAGACATTAATTTAAGGATACACCCGAAGAATTATTGACCTCTAATTTGTTTAAGGGTAGTAAATCCATGCTGTTTGAGATACCTTCCCAAAAGCGGGTCATCTTTTTGGCAAAGTAGGATGATAATTCTTTGTAGTGCATGGTGCTGGGTTTTATTATGGGCTCTAGATGCTCAGCATTGATAAAGTGGTTTAGCACTCTTGATCACTTTTTAGGGACAGGATATGGCAGCTTCAACTGAAGCATAAGTTTAGAGAAATTTTTTGTTCAAAGTATCTGTTTCAGCTTTATATTTTTGGTGATTGAGTTGATCCTTTCTTCATTTGGAACTGCACGATAGAAATCCAAGGAGATCTGAGTGCATGATGAGAGGGAATGGTCGGTTTGAGGTTCAATGTGTGCTAGCATGCAATGATAATTATTCACCAGAACCTCTAATCCTTGATGAGTGGGCGGATTGCTGCTATGATTTTGCATGCACTTACATCACATCTTTACTTAAATCTGTGAAGCTTCTGGGGATAGGCAAGTCCTAAGAAAAGGGATTTAAAAAAAATAATGGAATGCCCAGTAAAGATGGGCAGGACTAGATGAGCAAACTTGCTTCCTCGGTAGCATACTGAACATTCTAGTCCAATATCAACTCATTCTTAAATTTCAGTAATTTATAACAGCTAGATTTTGATGCATTATTTTGCAAGTTTAAACTATTTACTATGTATATTCTAATAAATGGTGTTGTTTGTACTGTTTAGGAAGCATTCAGAATGTGGATTGGAGGTGAAGGCACAAGAGTTAACTGCAGCAACTTGTAATTCAGTAATCCGTTGTGGCTTTCAGAAACATCTAGTTTATACTGGGCATGCTCAGACATTAACATAGCTATACTAGTGTAGTCATATATTAAAATTAAATAAACTTTTTTGCATAGTCACTCCCATACTGATAGCAAAATACTTGCTCTCATAGTGATTTATTAGTACAATTAGAAATAGTTTCATTTTAGATTTATTATTGGATCTGGACTTCTAATAATACTCCGGTCATCTGAAGTGAGCTGTGCTCATGAAAGCTCATGATACCATCTACATGTTTTGTTTGTTAGTCTTTAAGGTGCTAGTAGTCTATTTGTTGTTTTTTAAGTTTTTCATTTTAATGTTATGGTGAATATATAAATCAACTGTTTGGTCTCACAGTTCAGGAAGTCACTAGAACAAATAGAATTTATCTTTTATCAACCACCTCAGCCCACTGATTATTGCACACACACTATACTAGATCTGGAAAAATCGAGTCACTTAACTGTTACTAGTGAATGAGATGCTTTCTATAACAAGTAGAACAAGAGGGAAGATGAGACTTTCCACAAAATAAAGGTTTCTAGCCTGGTGGTCACAAAGACAACCTTCCAAATTTTAATGGATGCTCTGCCATCTTTTTGACTTTGCATGCTACAAAATGTGAAATTGCTATTAGGAATCCCAGCAACTAGAATTGAGGTCTGAGCTTCTGTTGCCTGTGGTACTCAGTCTTTGGGAGTGAGTAAAGGTCTTTAAACCTTTCATACTGCCTCTGGCTTCTAAGCATCTAGTACATTTTACTAACCCTTGATAGCAGTACTATAATGACAGATGAATAAGCACTGTCATTCCAGGTTTACAAACATGTTCTGACATTATTCTGTGGGTTAAACTTTCTTCTACTTTTTCTCAGCCAACAGAACATCTGACAAAATTCTAGTTGGATATTTTACAACACGTTCTTCCCATCCATTCATACAGCTGAAACTTGTTTACATTTTCCTCTTGCATCTTGGTTATTACAACGCTTGTCTCTCTGGCCTTGACTCATTTCCATTCAGTTTTATACTACAAAGACCCTTTTCTTAGCCTCACCCTTTTTTCTCTTAACACCTTAGTACTTTCTCCCATGCTTCTCCATAAATATCTGTAAAGTTACCACGATTCCCCCTCAAAATTGTCCTTCAAATTCTTTTTCTATAAAGCCAACAAAAAAATTTACAACAAGACTGATATGCTTTCTTGTACTCCTTATCTGTACCTGTTGTCTTTGTTTTATGCATTAATTGTAAGCTCATTGGAGAAGGAATCATCTTTTTGTTCTGTAGCTTTAACATATCTCACACAATTAAGTCCAGTCTTTGAGCAGAGCTCCTAAGCACTATGGTAATACAATAATTTTAAGATAAACAAGAAAAGATGTTCACTTGTTGAGGATTTGTATTAAAATTATTTGTTTCTATTTCGTTCTGATGGTTCTTTTATATTTCACTTGGATGGATCAAAAAGTAGTTCATTTTCAAACTATAATCTTTGCAGGGAGGTGGGGCTAACAGAATAATGCACGTTTCATCCAACATGAAAGCTCCACTGAAAGAGAAAAGATAATAAATTTAATAGCTTCAGAGGGGTAGCCAAGTTAGTCTGTAACAGGAAAAACTTAAAAAACAACAAATAGTCTAGTAGTACCTTAGAGATTAACAAAACATGTAGATGGTATCATGAGCTTTTGTGGGCACAACCTACTTTTTCAGGTTGTGCCCACAAAAGCTCATGATACCATCAACATGTTTTGTTAGTCTTTAAGGAGCTACTAGACAATTTGTTTTTTAAGATGTAATACATTTAATATAGGCTATCGCCCATGCAGCGTGCACCTTCTCCTCATGGGTTAACTGTGATCACATGCTGGGGTATCTAAGCCCGAGAGACGCTGAGCATCTTCAGCCTCTATGATGATCAATAGGGGAGCCGGTCTTAGGCCGCCTTCTGCTGAAGTCAAGATCCAAGTCTGGAAAAACGGAGCCCACAGCAGCCCTCCCGTGAGCAACTGAATCCTCAGCCTATCTCCAGGCGTTGCGCGAAGCTGGGCGAGCGCGGGCTGTGCTTCTGGCCAAGGGCATTACGTGAGCCCCAAAGACAGGCCCATCGGGCGATGTCTGCGTCCCGGGGAAACGGCTCTGCCTGAGGCGCTGGCTACGGCTTTAGTCCGGGGCTCCCCCTCCTTCCGGGCTGGGCCGGAGAAGCGACTCTGCCCCGGGCCCTGCGAGGGGGGCTGCTCTGTCTGAGCCGCGGGGGCAGGAGAGATGCGGGAAGGCGCGAGGCTGGGGCGACCCCGCTAGGAGGCCGCTCCACAGACACGACCAACTCCCCCAGCCGCCGCCGGGATAGAGACGACCCCGCCCCCTGGCTCACAGAGGGGAGGGGGGGACGTCGACCCCACGTGACGGGGGACAGCCAATGCCGAGGCGGCGTCCCGGCTCGGCCGGGCGGAGCTAAGGCTGCTGCCGCCGCCGCCGCCGCTGGGAGCCTGAGAGGGGGAAGCGCCTGAGCGGGGCGGGGGAGTCGGAGCGAGGACCCCAGGAGGCTGCGCCGCTCCCGGCCCGGGCGCCCAACTGACCGGCCATGCCGAATAAAAACAAGAAGGAGAAGGCGAGTCAGCCCGGCTGGGGCGCGGAGGGCCCGGGGCCAGGCCCCTGCGGGAGAGGGGCCGTGGGGAGAGCCGCTGAGGGGCGGCGAGCGCCGGGAGAGCTGGGCAGGTCCTGGCCGCGGGGGAGACAGGCGGGCGCTCAGGCGGCGGGGCGGGCTGCCGAGGGACTCCGGGGTGCTCCCTGTGGGAGGCGGCGAGGAACGGGGAAACTCTCCCCGTGGGTGGGCGGTGGGCCTAGCCCAGCCGCTGCTGCCTCTTTTCGCCCAGTTCCTGGGGCCCGACTCACTCCTATTGGGGAGGGGAGAGACTGGGGTTCGTGGCGGAGAGGCAGAGGGGATTTATTGGGGGCGTGAAAGGGTAATGGCTTGGGGCGGGAGTAACGGGAGGTGGCTTTTATCGAGTGTACGTAGGAGTGAGAGGCGAGCTATTAATTTTGGGTCAAGGTGGGTATCTCTGCTTTGTGTGGGAAGGGGTATTTTTAAAGCGGGGCAGGTCTCTGGGGGAGGGGAGGTTATTCTTAAGGTTGGCATCAGTGCATTTTCCTGAGTCTCTTTACTCTGTTGCTTTAATTTCCATATCCCATTGCTTGAAACTGCATTCATAGATCCATCTCCTCCCCAGTGTGATAAAACTGGTCCCGTTTTACAAACAGGGCAACTGAGGCAAAGATGTAGTGACTTGCTTTACATGGCAAAGCAGCCCAACCAGAGCTTTTACCTCAAAAGGGGAGTAGTTGTTCTCGAGAGTCCATGAAGTCCACTGGAGACTTTGTTATTGCTGTTGATTTTACATGGAAGCTGCTTACATACTGAGATCAGGACAAGTGGGAGTAGAGGGATATAATAGTCAATTAACTGATAGGCAAAAGCTTATTGGTTAATGCTATCAACTACATGCATTTAAATGCAGAGCTGCAGTGATAGGCAAAAGCTTATTGGTTAATGCTACCAACTACATGCATTTACATGCAGAGCCGCAATGAGGGACCTACCCCCACTGCGACTCTGCAGTTTAAATGTAATAAGAGTGGGGTGGGCAAGCAGACAGCCTGGCTCTTAATACATTTAAACTGAAAAGCCATAGTGGGAGTAGGTCCCATACCTGGCGAGAGCAGGGGCTGGGCTGGGCTGTCTGCCCACCTGGCTCTTACTACATTTAAACTGCAGAGCCACAGCAGAAGTAGCTCCCATACCCAGGCTGAGCTGGGAGCTTTAACCTCCCTTATCCGTTAATTGTGTAGTTGATAAAAATTCAATCGACTGCATGATTAGTGAATTACCCGCTTCTGTTTGGTGTTAAAGCCAGGAGTGGAACTGAGCTCTTGACTCCCATTCTGTGCCTGTTCCACTACATAGCTCTCTCTACATCTTTGATTTCAGGCAAACCCTTTAAGCAATTTCACATCAGTTTAGTATCATTTGCTTGTGGATTTATCTGTCTTATGATGTTGTTGTTTTTTGTGCCTTAAAATACAAATGCTGCATTGATCCAAAAAATTGTAGACCATTAATGTTTGTATTCCTTTTATTTCCTTTATCATGTAGTGAGAGAAATAGGAGGTGTTAAATGTAGATAAAGCGTTGGATTAAAAACAACTTAAAGTGCAGTCACAGCAGTGTTTTAAATTGAAAGTGTGGCCATGGCATAAATGCTGGGAGAGCTCTTTTTTAGCGCTCTGTTAACCACCTCTGTGAGAAGAGTAAGCTAACAGTGCAGGGAGCACAGCTCCAGGTGCTGTATCACACTGGTGCATTACAGTGCTCTAACTTGCTGTGCTCAGAGGGGTGTGTGTGTGTGTGGTTTTTTTTTCCCCTCCCCCTCCCCACCTCTGAGACAGAAATTTATAGCACTGTAAAGTGCCAGTGTAGATTTGGTCTCAGTGTATCATTCATAGTGAGGAGAAACTCTTGGGTTACAGATAGGGATGTGAACAACTAGTTGCTTCTCCCCTCCCCCCATTGCTGCCTCTGTCAGAGTCCCCAGCTGACCCTGGGCTCCGTGCGGTGGTTCCACTTTGAAATGCTGCAGGGAACATGGGCCAGTGGGGGATGGCTAATCGCAATTTGCATCAAATATTCATCAATTATTCGATTTGCCAATTAATCAGAATTTTACATTCCTAGTAATAGACCCAGTTTTAACATTGGGTTTTTAGCTGCTGTTGCAGTTACGTAGATGGAAACATCTGTATAGGCATGGTACAGTGCTGTATACCATGGCTTGGTCTAGAACAGGTTACCCTGGATTCAGAGCTACACTAAAGGCTAAAAATAAAGGGTAGATCAAGGCTGATTTACTGTGCCTTTGTGCATACCGTTTGCACTCTGCCTTAGTTTTCTTAAGCAATTTTCATGAATTAATCTTATGGGTATGTTGTGAGGAATAACTACTGTTTTTAAAGTATTTTGAAGGTGTGAGAATTTGTACAATTTCTAAGACTGAAATTGTAATTGTATAATTACATTTCTAGGCTTTAATCTTCTGTAATGCATATTTTCATGCAGATCTCTGGTCAATCAGTTACTTGACTGAAAAAGTATTTGATTCTGTTTGAAATTAAGCTTGATGCTGGAAAAACTTACAAATGTTTAATTTTCAGGAACCTGCAAAATTGGGCAAAAGTGGAAAAAGTGGTAAAGATGGACAAGATAACCAAGAACATGAGGTAATTATTGTCATAGCATCTGGTCTACTCAACTATTCTCACAAAGAACACTTTTCAAGAGTATAATCTTTCCCACATTGATATAACTTAGATGGTAGCTGTTTGGTTTTTTGGAAACCACTAGGACGACTTTGACAGAGAAAAGATGTTTTAAAAAGGTGCATACAACTTTTGAAAAGTGCTTGCAATGAAATGAAGCCAACTATGGTTGGTCCTTGATGTAGGGATGTAAGTGACTAGTCAACTATCTTGTAAGCATGTGCTTATCCGATAGTCGACTCAACTAGTCGCACCACCAAAGGATGTTAAGGACTTGTTGATTTCCCCCTCCCTCCTCATCTTCTATCAAATGAAAGCAGTAAAGGGGGGAGAGAAGAGGTGGTACTTCTGCTGCGCATGTAGCCCAGGATCAATTAGGTCCCCAACCTTTAGAGGCTCCCGGGGGGCGGGGCCACTCACACGCCGGGCGCCCCGGGGGGCGGGCCTGCGCGTCTGGAGGTCTTTTACTTTTTGTTCAGTTAACTAAATTAAAATCATTTTGAGCATGTCAATTTTTTTAAAACGAAGTGAAAAAGCCAAAAGTCTATCATTCATACCAGTTTTTAGATGTGTCGATGAGTGGGGTGTATACTTTCCAGAGTTTTATATATTAAGGGCCAGATTTTCTTACAAGGCAGAAACCGTCAGTTTGGACACTTTTAAATGGTTTTGAGTTGAAAACAATAGGAACTAATGGGTACAGAGCACTTCTGAAAATCTGGCCACTTCATTCCTGAATAGAAACTGAGTCCTTTTGAAAATCTGGACAGAATTTCAGATGCTGAGCACTTCTGAAAATGCCGGCCCAGGTTGTTGGCGGGGGCACACAAATGCCCCAGCGGGTGCCATGGCGCCTGCAGGCACTGCATTGGGGACCACTGAACTAGGGACTCCCCAGCTGATTCTCGGGTTCCAGTGCAGCATTTCTGCAGAATCTGGGATCAGCTGGGGAGTCTTCAGCTAACCCCAGGTTCTGGAGAAATGCCCTGCAAAACCCATGGTCAGCTGGGGAGTCTCCAGCTGATTCCGGGTTCTGAGAAAATGCTCTGTGCTGTGCTGCCACTTTGAAATGCCATGTTGAGCTGTGGTCAGCTGGGGACTCTTGTACATTTCAAAGTTGGCAAACTGTGTGCAGCCCAGAGTCAGCAGGACTTCCTGCTGGCCCCGGTTGCATGCGGAGTTCTGCATTCCTTCTTTGAAATGTACGAGAGCCCTATGGGGCTCTCGTACATTTCAAAGGAGGAATGTGGAAGTGCCTGTTGAGTAGTTGAAGGAAAGTCCATTGACTACTTGACTAGTAAAATAACTGTTACTTAACATCTTTAGCTCTGCCCCTTTGCTGCTTCTATCAGAGAGAGGAAGACAGGGAAGGAGCAGAAACCGGTGCTGTGGGAAGCTTGCTTAAAAACCAACTCTTCCCAGCACCGTCTCGGGAAAGTGGGGAGAGGGAGTAGTGGGGAACTGGTGGCGCTTCTGTTTTCGAAATATAGCAAGAACATTTCAAAAGCAGGCGGGCCGCAGGGAGCAGGGGACTGAAGCAATCCCCTGCTGGCCCCGTGCTCCCTGTAGCGCTTCCACCTTTGAAATGTAGCAAGAGCTGACAGGGCTCCTACTATATTTCAAAAGTGGAGGTGCCCTTATCGACTAATTGAATGTTGCTTGCAAAGTTAAAGTCCCCCACAGATTTCCTTACTTGCCTACAGAAAAATTATTTTCTAATGTGGAAGTATAGGGAAGCACCCCTCCCCAATAGCACAGGCATGTCATTTTAGGCACCTAGAGGAGCCAGCAGAGAGAAATCACTACAGAGGAGGGGCATGGGATTCCCCACCTATGACTTCTACTCTGTGCTGGGCTCTGCTAATAGTCCAAGTTGGGCTGCTGGTGATGGGACTTGTCTTTCCTTTCAAAGAACAGCTGAGACTAGGTTAAACCTGCCTCCTGATAGCTCCTTGACTGCGGGAAGCTCCACGCACACCTACGTGTTGTTTCCTGCTTTCCCGTCCATTGAACCTCAACCCTGCCTTCTGCATCTGGAACTTCCATGCACCCAGACCATACCCTGAAAAACTGCTTCACTGTTCTATGCTTTTCTATGTCCTTGTTTGTAAATATCTTAGTTCAAATATTTGTTTCTTTGCTGTATAAAAAGAATATTTTGCTGACCTCCCATTCCCACCTAAGAACTGCAACACAAAGCAATAGTATGTATTTTTATTTTTACCTTGAAAAATGACTGTTAGATTTCTGGTGAGCTTCACTGAGTCTTCACTTTTGTTATGAACAGAGAGGTACTAAAGATACATATTATCATGGTCAGTTCATTTATAGCTAACCGCTGTGTAACCTAATCATAATGTACTGGTTGATGAATTCATGTTGAATTGTGTTTTGAAGTTTGACAAGGGAAAATAATACTCAGCGTCTATGGCTTCCTCAATATGAGATCAAATCTGTAGCGGATGATGTAAGTCCTATTAATAGTTTGAATTTCCCTTGTAAATTGGTTTGACCCCATATCTTTAACTTAATATGAAGTCATTGAAGAATTGTTACCTTTTGACTGGGGTTGGACTTTATTTATATAAGCAAACATAAAACCTATATCTGTCAATTATTATCTTTGTTGATTTTAGCTTAGTTCACAGGTTCCTAATGTAGGGGTTGGGAGCCCTAAGAGGGTAATGAGGTTAATATGTGGGGGAGGTTATGAGCAGTGTTCCCTCTATGATTTTCCATCCATGAGCAGAGTGAGTTTTGTCTTGTGCACCAATATTGAGGTCAAGTGCACTTGTTCAGGTGTGTTCAGAAATAAATAAATGGTTCATCTAGTATGGTATCCTATCTCTGGCAGTGGCTAATTCCAAATGAGTAAGAAAAAGGTAAATTTTTTTCATCATACCTATGATTAAGGAAGGTCCCAATGTGCAAAGGGACCTCAGTATGATTGTGTGAGCATTGACATCTTTGCTAGCAGAATTGGAACTTAAGTATCCTGGCAACAGCCACTAGCCTGCCTGCCATGTGGCCCCAACCCCCGGAGGCAGCAACTCGCCCAACGTGCAGCCCCAGCCATGGTAGAACCATGCCACTCCCCTTCCAGGACCAGCAGGAAGGTGAGTACTGATGCGCAGCCCTATGAAGGAGGTGGCCGGGCTTAGAATTTTTTGTGTACGGCTGCGCAGGCATGCACCTTAGGGTGAACACTGGTCACGAGCTGTCAGCCTCCACCACAAATCCTACTTTGCATCTGGAATTTATTATGGTGTTTGATATTAAAAGGTGTTTAATTTATAAAGGAGGACACATTTAGAGGTTAGCTCTGTGAAAGGGGTCACCAGTACAAAAGTTTGAGAACCACTAGCTTAGTTATCCTTACTGTGGGGTTTCAAGACACTTCTAAGTGACAAATTTTGCTGAGAGTAAAGCTATTACACTGTTTCATTTTCTTATTTAGTACCTTTTACTATGGACAGACTGGATAAATATATGATTTGCTATTTAATTCGATCTGGGTTACTACTTTTACATTTAAAAAAAGTTCCCTGACGTGAATTTTTCAGAGCAAAAACATGCTGCCACTTTTATATGTGGCTCCTCGTGTTACCTATTATGAAGGAGCAATATAGTCACAATTCATTAGTGTGGTTGTCTTTGTATTTTGTTGTGGTGTTTGTTTGTTTGTTTGTTTGTTTGTTTGTTTGTTTGTTTGTTTGTTTGTGGTGGAAGAGGGAGAAAATAGGATGGGGAATGTACATTGACAAGAATTTGGACTGGACGAGAATGTGGCCTGCACATATGATGCACTTAGTATTTTCAGTCTCCAAGGTAAAGCTACAAGAAGAATCTTGGAAACCTGAACTCTTGGTTCTATCAATAAAGCTGTTTTAGTAGCTTGTGTTCTGAATTCTCCCCAAAAGTAGACATTCTGAAGGAGATTTTTCATGTAGGTAATCTAGAATTTAACATAAAAGGAGTGCTTGTTTGAAGTACAACCCTTATTTCAGTACCCATCTTTGGCTAATAGATGTTTCAGATAAAGAGATATTTACATCCTTCTCTAGACCACCAACAGATTTAGAAATGTACTGGCATATGTTGTTTTTTCAAGTGAATTTAATGCATGTGAGAAATGCCAGATTGCAGGGACTAGAAACTAGTCCTCTATTCAAAGAACAGGGACAACACAAGCAGCAATGTCCCACAAATATTTTATTTATAGGCATTTCTGTAGCACTTATCTGAACACATGATTTGGACTTTTTATAGCATTTTTTTTCATCTGTGGGTCTCAGTGATTTATGAGTAAGCATTATTCCCATCTTCCAGTTTGTAAAACTGATGTATGGAGGACAAGAGAAGCAATTTTCCTAAGGTTGTGCAAAAATTTTCTATCTGAAGATCAGAATCTAGGTCTTTAGTCTATTAACTTTATGCCTAATCCACTTTATGCCTAATCCACAACAACTGTGCCTCCTGAAATGTACTTCAACTTTGACATAGTGAGATGGTACTTGAGTATTCATGCTCATTCAATGCTTAGTCTTACTTTGATTACATGTTGAACTAACGTGCTTCACTTAGACCACCAAGATCATCTGATGGTTACTGTGCTCTTTCTGACAAGCAAAAATATAATCAGTGACACACAGATAAAGTTTTTTACTTTAGAAATACCAGGAATAATCTAGACTCTCTGGCTTTGTTGGTCACCTATGGTTTGACCTTGACTTGCTGTCAGCTACTTGACAGGCACTAACGCATTCCTCCTTTGAAATGTGACTTGGGGTAGGAGACTGAGGTGCAGAAGTTTGGGTTGTAACCTAGGGATTATAATCTGGGGCAGGAGATTAGGGTGCCAGATCTGGGGGGGGGGGGTCTGGGTGCAGAAGGACAGAGGGTTTGGGTATGCTGAGTTGGGGGAGGGCAGAGAGTTGGGGCAGGAAAAGACTGGGGTGCCA